TATAAATTAAAGAAAGTCCCGCTAATGCAAGTTTAAATAGAAAATCACTCAATTTCCCATTCTATACAAATAAATAAAATTGAAGTGTCTGCTTTTAATTTCAAATTAACAGCTTTTTACTAAATGTATTTAAATATATATATACGGTACTTGTATCAAGAAATCAATTTTTTAATTTTTTTTATCTGTCTGTATGTATGTTCGGCTAATCTCTGAAATGCGGCTGAACAGATTTCGACGGGACTTTCCCTGGCCGATAGCTGATGTTATAATGAATATATAACTTAGGCTACTTTTATTTTAGAAAAAATTAGGGTTCCGTGAAAACAAAATTAAAGCCAATGAAATAGTGAACAATATCTGATTCAAACAGGGAAGTATGTATTATTATATCTATATATATTAAACTGGATGTTTGTATATATGGCCTCACTTCACACTCCAATACTGTACAACCGATCACTATAAAATTTGGCATGTGTATGTATTCTTTTGCGGAGAAGGTTTTTATGTTGCCCTCTTTGTTGCAGCTCCCCACCAGGTAACACTACAGCTTATTAATATCTGCACCGTTCAATCCATCCCCAAGTTGCCAATAGGATCGCCAAAAAGGATGCCAACATTTCGTTGTGTTTCCATTGAATCGCCATTATAATGTAGGGAACGGCGTTGCTTGCGAATATTACAATTTTAACATAAAATAAATACGACAGAAAGTAATATAAACGTTTTACACATCCAGATAGAAATTATTTACTCAATTTTAAGTATGCATTACACAAAATTTGTAACAATGCGTTACTTCTGCTGAGGAGAAATCAGCTTAGGAAGGTGTTTTCAAAAATCGACCCAAAGGGGAGATACGAGGGTGTTATAAACAAAAAATAAATCCTTTTTATCAGCTATTAGATCTACAGAAACTTAAAAAATAGTGGGTTTTTTTAAATTTAATTTGCAATTCACGTAAAATAAAATCATTAAAAAAACTTATTTATCTTTCAATCTTTATTGTTTAATTTTTCAATTCACCCGTACGAGGAACGGGTAGACCAGCCAGTATTCAATATTTTTTCAGAAATACAATCCATAATTAGTCAATTCAGTTTGTTATAATTAAAAAACACACTATGATTATCTGACAAAAACTATTTTAAGTCGGAAAAAAATAAATAACCATCCCTTATTTAAAATCTGAATTAATCGTTCCGAAACTGAAAAATACAATACAGAAGAAAGGATTTGCATAGATATATGCTGAATATCTCTTGATTATGTGTCGAACATGCTTTTGTGTGAGAACTTTGAAAACACAGAAAATTCGGAATTAGTTAATGAAAAGAGTTTTAACATCCTGAGATAAGTTTATTGTTTTAATCACAGTAAAATAGTTTTATTTCGTTAATCGATAATGTCTGGATCTTTTTGTACGATTTTCCTGTGAAAGTGTCTCCAAAACCATTTCCGCGAACAAAAAGTTTATGCAGTCTGTTCATTGAAAAAAGTTTTAACAGTAATTAATTTATACCAATTTTTCATAGAAATGTTCATTGTGCTCCTCTTTAATATATAAAGCCCATATTACATAATAAATTGACTAATTCTGTATAACTTATATGTCTTTACAGCTATATTTTTAAATATTTATTGTAATTATATTGGATTTCTGATGTTCTAAATATAATAAGTATTAAGTTGATAATAATATCAAATAGGAAACAATTTTTAAAAACAGCAATTGTTTAATACGTATACAATTCTTTCTTCTTCAATATTTTGACTTACTTATCTATGTTATATTAAAACACACTCACAATTTACTGTGCTGAAATATAATTTCAATTTCCGTTTATTTTTTATTTCAACAAGCAAAATAATACATTACATCACTATATTATTATTATCTCTCTCTTTTTGGGTACATAATAATCAATATAATAAACCACTTGTCTTCTTAAGCAAATATTTATTTATACAATATATTGCTTACTTTATTCTTCAGTATCGGTTTCCTCCAATATTTCATTGAATGTATGATATGTTTGTGTATCTGAGTATATCCTTTTTCTTCAGTAAGACTATAGCATTAATAAAGCAAAACTATTTACATCATATATTTTATTATATGAATTATTTATAAAATGAAAGCGCTTGGTGGGATTCTATTTTAGCGCAGCCTTTTATTTATCGCCAGCTTGGCGAATTATTATCCTCATATTGGATAGAAGTCCAAAGTAGAAAAATGAGCTGCTGGCTCACTTTGGCTCAGTTTGTTTTTCTTCTTTGGCAAAGTCGTGGACTAAAATAGGATGTTACTTGAAAGTTTTAGTGGATATTCTGCATATATAATATCAATTGCGATACAATACACGTTATTTGAATGTTTTTTATCATCATTCTTACATTTCTTCAGTAATTTGCAACAATTTTGTAAATCTATTTTCCTTAATTTATTGAGCTTGAATATTAAAAATGTTGCACATGTCTTACCTTACAATATGATAAAATAATTTTAGCCATTTTCTGCGTATATACGAGTATTTTTAAAGTATTATATAATTTAATGATACACCGAAAAAAAATTTAATTCATTTTCAAGCAAACATGAAAACAACAAAATTAAGGACATTTCATTTTTTTCATTTCAAAAGTCAACATTCGAATGATCGATAAAAATCTCATAAATAAATAGTTTAAAGTGTTCTTATATACAAACTAAAATTTCTTTCCACTACTTTATTATCCTATCTCATTCGCATTTTTACTTCATTTCGAATAATTTACTCATAAGTTAGAGTATTCAATTCCTATTCCTTAAGCTTTTCTTCGTCTATATTCAGAAAAGTTCTAATACTTTCCCTCTTCTTACGATAACTACAAACACATGGGATGGTTTCAGCTCCTCTAACAACACTTCAGAACTAACTTAAAAATACGGCGTGGCTCTCCCATTCCAGTAAATGGGTTCTACAGTAACAACCCAAACCCTCCCTCGTAACAACGGACTTAACGCGAGGGTAAACTGCATGCAAATCACTTGAGTTCCAATGAGAGGCCCTAAGTAATCCTCTTTCGCCCACAATTAACGTTTCTCTTCCCACAAACCTTTCGATATATTTGCCCTTAAATTCACTAGCTCGTGGGAGGTCTTTTCTGTGAGAACAGATAAAAATACTTTACAGGAACTATTCCTAGAATAGTTTGGTCGTTTGCGCCTTATAGTTATTTTGCTTAAAAGCCGTTTTAATGTCACATTATAATAGCTGTTTGAATTCGCGTTGTTTAATAAATGTAATCACTTTTATACATTTCACATTCTACATTTCTATTTAGGTTATTTGTGGTCTGTTATAAATTAAGTCGCTTTCATTAATTGCGCTAAAAATGATTTTGGCTCTTTTTCGGTGATTTTCTAACTACTTTTATCTAGTACATTTTGTCATTTTTAAAAAACATTCTATGTCTTTTTTCAATTCCTGCACTCTCTCCCTGTATATATATATATAAACTACAAAATAGCATGATCTATAATAGACCAAAATACCATATATCAAAATTCAAACATATATAGACGCAATGCAGCCACATGATATGTGAGAATATATCTGGTTATCTAGCAATTGCTATTCTTTTAAGTATTAATCATGTTAATTCATCTCTCTCTTGTAGAGAAATTTTGATTATATATATATATATACATAAAATTCAAAAATAAACACAAAATAGTTATAAACTAAGATAACTATAGTCATGATAGTATAAAGTCTTAGCCACAGTAGTACTATAGCAAACTCCTGGCCTTAGGAACCAGGATTGCAGGTTTAAACAAAGTTTTGCGGTCAGCCAACCTTCACCTGTATTTGGGCCATAGGGAAAGTAAGAAATGTCTAGAGAAGTTTAACTATTATTACAAATAAAACCATAATCTATTAATATAAAACGATAATATTATAGCCTATAATAATTACTAGAATATGTTAAAATCAAAGCTAAAACAATTAGATAAAAAGACTTACCACGTGAGTGCAGCAATAACCATTTTTCCCTTGCGACAGAAAGGTGAATATCAGTAACGCATAAAATTATTCAGTTATGATAAAATAACATTAAGTCTATATATACACATTTAAAAACTCTAAATTTTGATTTAAAATTTATAGAAAATAAAAGTACAACCCAGACATATACAATTAATTTTAAATAAAGTATATTATTATTAATTTACTTAGCATGAGGCGCCATCTATCAATTAACTGTACAACTAATTAAAAATTCTATTTTTATTACGTATTTCTTACACTGAACTGATAGGAATATAACAGTTTATAAAATTAGCAGGGTATCCATGTTCCATACAATGTTTAATAAAGTTATAAAAATTTAAATGTACATTAAATTTATAACTAACTAATACGTTATTATGATAAATATAATTGAAAATAATATTTCTATATATAGATATAGATAAATACGAATTCCAGTACGGCACTTTAAGAATGTTAAAATTAAAATCGTCTCTTTTGTCATAAATATTGCTATGTAATTTATAGTCCTTAATATACAATGATACATCCAAGTAATTAGTTTCACTGGATTACTATTAATTTTAATTAGGTTTAAATAATTGGGATAAAAAGTAATATTGGGATTAACATAATTATTTTTACCAAAAATAATTAGATCATCTATGTATCTAAAAATGTAATTATCATTATTAATAATATATTTATATTCGTAAATGTGTAAATATAAATTAGCCAAACTATTGCTAGCAGGCCACCTTGAGGCAAACCTTTAGTTTGTTTATACAAATAACCATTAAAATTAATGTAGTTTTCTTATACACACTTATATATATGTATCTTGTTCAAATTTTCAATGACATTTGATGTTACTACAGTTTTTTCAAATATTAATTCATTAACTAAATTAAAAAGGAATGAATAGTAACAAACAAAAATAATAGTTCGACAGCATATATAGAAATGAAAATCGTTTGTATTGTCCTTGTAGCGCGATGGACAGCTCGTTGGACTTCTAATCCAAAGGTCATGGGTTCGAATCCCACCTGGGATGGCCTAATTTTTGGGAATGTGATTTGTTTATTATGCTATTTTATTGAAATAATTAAATTTAATTAATAAATAAATAGTAGCAGACAAAAATAATAGTCCAACGCCATATATAGAAAGGAAAATGAAAAAAATTACAAGGAATGTCGCTTTCTATTTTGCAACTTAATATTGTGATTCTGCCATATGTATATATATATATATATATATATATATATATTAACTGTAATTAAAAAAAATTTTATATTACTTGTTAGATTGTAATTTACATACATGGGTGTTCCAAAAATAGCACTCAAACACTGCATAGTTAGATTCCTCGTTCGGAATACATAAAAAATGCCCAAAGAATTGTACCTGTACGATCCATACTTAACGAGAAAAATATCAGAAATCATGTGAATGAATGAGAATGCATGATTGTTTACGATGTAACCCCGGCGTATTTCTGTGCTCCTGTGTGTAATTGGCTGGATATGGATTGGCCAAACTGGCACTCTAGGGATCATTTGCATGCCGTATAATCATACAACATGGACGCTGTCTATTTTCTGCATCAGGAAAATCCACCGGCTTGAGCCGTGGACGAACCCGCAAACTTAGACGTAGAAGGACAACACCAAACTAAAATTAGCCACCCATCCTTCTCATTTTTATTTTATAGTGAATAAAATGGGGAAAAAATATTATGAAATTTCTTTAATTTATAAATGAAATAGTTAATGGTAGTTTGACTCTTTGCAGTTCTTTTCCAGACTTTAAATTTACAAAATATTCAGGCTTATTTCCGACATCTTATTTTACATTAATTTCCATTTTTATGACTCAAGACTATTAAACATCATATTTAAATTCTTTTATCATAACATGCAAAATGCTTTTGATTTCTGTCCAGCAATTTATGTAGATTGATTTATTTAGTTTGAGACGAGTTTAAATTGAAAATCTCTATATTTTTTAATTTATTACATCATTTCAATGAATATTTTTTATTTACATAGACCCTAAAAGTCTGGTATTTGAAATTTATGAATTTATTACATCAATATATAAAAACGTAAATCATAAATATGAATAAAGTGATTTAAAAAGCGTCCACAAATCTTATAAGTTCACGATAATGCCTCCATTGCATTCCTCCAAGTACTGTTTATGACGGACTTTATCTGTTTCGATTTTTTCATTGATGTAAAATCAAAAATATTTTTTAAAGATATAGTTAAGGGAATAGTCTCTCTCTCTCTCTCTCTCTCTGAACTTTCAAATATTTAAAAATAGATGCGCCTTAATTTTTTCAATTCCTGCTATAAGTTCACACTCTCCTTATATATAGTTTTAAATATCTTGTTCAAATTTTTAATCGTTAATAAAATAATTTGTTATTAAACTACTTAGGTTCAAATACCTTTTTTAAACTTGTAGTGGGTAGCACTTGATGTTAACGCAGTTTTTCAAATATTAATTCATTAATTAAATTTAATTAATTTTATTTTTATATGGGAGAAAAATTTGCTCTCTATTGTGCCACTTAATATTGTGATTCTGTCATATGTACAGAGTAGGATTCAAAAGTTCCCGGGCTGAGTCTATGGCTTAAAAAATATTACAAATTAAACAACTGAAACACATCCTCCTTCGAAATAAGACCCTTGAGTAACAACACATTTTTCTCATGCCTTGTAAAGGTCATCCAAACATTTCTAAAATCCATTTTTAGCCGTGTCCTGCAATTCAGCCTGCGATGCACTTTGAACTTCATATGCAGATTGGTCTTCGTTTAACATGCGGGGAACAATAAGTTAACACATACATGTTAAGATCTTTAATCAGTATCTATTAGCATGTGGCAGAGGATATCTCAACTGATTCTGTAATTGTTAGAAGCCTGTTCTTACGTACCGTCACGGAAACCTTTTTGATGTTTTCAGCGATGTGAGAAGTCCTCGGATATCTAGAGCGTTTGTCGTCTTCGACACTTTCCATGCCTTCTCTGAAAGTCGATGCCACCCAAAAGCTTGCATTCATAAAAATATATCACAACCTTACACCTGCTTCGAAATTTCGAAAGTCTCCGCAGCACTTTTTCTCAAACGAACACAAAGATTAGTATCCATTTCCCGCTCAACAAACGCAATTTCTTTCAATAACCGACAACTAAATATATCCGCCTACAAAATAAGACGCCGTGACGACTCACCGAGTAATAATAATAAATTTAAATATAACTTTTTTAGAAAAGGGGAAGAGAATATTCAATAACACAGAAATGTTACTGTAGTCGCTTTACTGCAAGAATTTTCCACTTATAGGTTCACTTCTGAATCCTACTAGCTTATACATATTTATATTAATTGTAATTATGTTTTCTCTTTGGTGACCTAAGTAGAAATTTACTTTAATTTTTTTTTATATTACTTGTTTCTCTTTATGTCTCTTCATTATCACGCATTATAATTATTCTGAAAAGTACATTTTATGAGAGATTGTTTAATTAACGTCGCACTTAAAAGAACACAAGAGCTATTGGCGACGGTAAGGACGTCTTAAGGTATGGGCCAAATGAGCCTTGCCCTCGGTAGGGTCCTCGTTTCGTTCTCAGTCTTAATAAGATCATGATCCAGATCATTTTAATGGTAAAATATTATTCCATACATATTCTCCGAAAAACAGGGAATTTCAAACTGCATATCAACTGGTAAAAGTGGCAAGATTGAATTCTTATGTGATGACCATTGCCCATGTTTGGCCTAAGCCTAATACCATAAGAAATCATTCAACTCGTTTAGTCGAAATACGACCATCGGTCGAGCAGGTTTGTGAGATTGGGAGTCGTATGCATTTATTTGTTTTAAATTACCATTTGTACGAGTATTAGACTATGCATGCTATATCCCTTTAAGACCTGAATTATTTTTATCGTTAAATATTAAATTTTTCTGGTTATTAATACTATACTGACCCCAATACACTGGAAAAAATAATAAAAAAATTCTCGCCCCCCCCCCCTTCTGGAACGTAGACGGTACACGCACGATCGTGCGGGTTGGGCGTTTTTTGTGAAATCAGTACCTTTGAAATTTTACATTTTTTTGGCTTTTAGTTGATGGAAGAAACACACTTAATTCAACTAAAATTGTTACAAATAAGGAAATTATTGATGTAAAATTAATTTTTTTATTGGCTCATTATTTATTTCCTGTGGAAATAATGATATGCATAAGTATACATTGCATTTTTCGCAACATGTTTTCGAACTGATTTCGTAGTTTTCGAATATGCACTTGTGAGGCCTTGAAATGTCATCAACACATCAAAAATGGCTACACATGTCAAGCCTTTTTATCCTGGAATGTCCAGGATAAAAGGCATGACATGTACAGCAGGTAGATCACAAAACTTCGATCTTTTCACGTGTTGAATCACACTCACTCACAACACTGCTATCTTCATCATCAGTTAAAATACCTTTGTTAGTAGGTGAGAAACTGCTAATGCTTTAATTATCTCTTAACTTAAGTTTTAAGCGATTCATTTTGATTTCTGGAGAAATTTTATTTGATATCGCATCTTGTTTACACAGAAAACAAGAATTTGCAACAGCTAAAACAATGAAATGAATGGGTTCAAGAGACTTTGGTGGTAAAGAATGATCCAAAATTGTCTTTTCATTTCAAATATTTCCATGTTTTTCTTTATCGCTTTCTTATGAACTTGATTCTCCTTTTCATATATGTGATTCATATGTTTTGTTCGCAGTATTGTCCTCATCCGAGTGATCACTAAGTTCTAATCTAAGTTCAATCTGATTTATTCATCAATTGCAAAATTTCTTCTTGTGTGAGAATTCTTCTCCTTTTAAACACCTGAAAAAGTTTTTAGTTAAAAGTTAGCACAGTATTCCACGAAAAATAATAAAATGTATCAGAAAAATTTATTATTAAAAAAATAATAAAATATTTAAACCACACCATACTAACTCCCACCGGAAAACCCAGATTTTTTTCAGGGGGGGGGGGGTGAGATGGATGCAGATATCTGCATAAAGGATGAAAATGCAATACCCCTCATCAAATGCGTGGAAGAGAAAATGAATTGAAAAAAGCCAGAGAAAGAAAAAAGGGACTCGTCCATGGCAGCTCCAAGGAAATATGGTTTTAGTTATATAACAATTGTTTTTTGTTTTTATTTAGGCTTCCATCAACATTATTGAAACAGAAAAGAAAACTCATATGGCAATACTTACCTTTATAGCTGCAGTGACTCAAGTAACACCCAACCCGCACGATCGTGCTGATAACGAAATCCCGAGTCCTACAAGCAACATTAATAGAGAGCAATTAATATTTTTTTCTATTTTACAATTATTTAAGCATTAATACAAAAATTTGTATCCATGCAATTAGAAATATATTGAGATAATTACCTTTCTATGACAGATAAAAATAATACGTGTTTTCGTTGTATTTGAAAACAAAACTAGATTTGCCAGCTGAAAGTAAAACATGGACTACAACCACCGTCTGTTGATAAAAAGTGATAATTTACACTTTCTGCAAACACACACTAAATCGCTGGGTTCAGAATTTTCTTACATACTATTCCAGAAGCAAAAATACACTCATGGACAAAAAAATTAGCGCAACAAGAAATAATTGCAGGATCGTAACGAAACTTGGCATGAAGGTACATGTCGGGTAGATTTGCAAATAATTAGAAATACAGCGTCATTACGCATTACGTATAGCCGGTAGAGGGCGTTTAACGTCGTTATCCGTGGAGTATAAAACAGGTAACCAAAGCTTGTTTGCGTGTGCTGAATCGTTTACAAAGAAAACGCTGAGGTAGACAAGCCATTACGCCATTTTCGAAGACAATACTTGCAGATGTAGCAGTTTGAGAGGGTGAGACTCATCGGCATGATGGAAGCTGGGTGGTCAGCTAGGCGAGTAGATCGTCAATTAGGCTGCTCTGATTGTGTTCTGAGAAGGTCTTGGATCCAAGAGA